ACCAAAGGCTCCTGTTCTTGAAAATCACTGTAAATTAAGGGATGCCTGTACAGGTACTGTATACAGTATATGGCTTAACATTATGCTGGTCACTTCAGAGTTAATAGATCTACTGGAGAAAGAGAATTTGAATTTCACCTTCACAAGTAGAGTCATAATGTGTTACTGCAGTTTGACCCAGTGCAGTACCGGTTAATGAGACTTGTTATTTTAGAGAAAAATATGAATATAACTGATTAGCTTCTTTGCCCAACTTTTCCCTGCCTCTGCTCTCCTCTCACTAGCATCAAGTTACGGTAGTCCAACCATGATTGTAATTTAAATATTGTACAGGTTTTTCAATCTAGTATTGTAGTGTTTATGCTTATATGTAGCCAGACTGTGTCCTGTTTATTGTTACTATACATAAAAATATGAAGGACAGGTCATCCAGTAAGTTTTTAGTGTAATAGCTCAAGCAACTCTCAATGTGAATGACATTTATCTTTGTTTTTCTTGAAATTTTCTATTTTCCTAATGATTAAATAAATGCCAAAGACAAAGAAAATCAATATTTTACAGAGTAAGGTAATAATGTCCTTTATGCACGGTTATCATTAATACTGTATAACATTGTACATTGAATATCTCTAGTCTCTAATAAAGTTTCATGTTTAAAAGTTAATTTGTTGTCCAAACTTAAGTATTAAATCAAGAGGACGTGACCAAGCCAGAACAAACTTTGGTGGTACATGAAGTCCATTACCTACGACTATGCCCAGGTAGGATGTACGCTGTAAAAATAGATAACAAACAGTTCTCAGTCTAAAAGGTAGAATACCGACAGTCCTACAGAATGGTACCAATGGCAGTTTGATGTTGTTTTACCTTGGAACCAATTGAAACAGTATTGTAAGATGAGATCAATATTTTGTACCCACTGGTAATTAACCATACTGTAGTCTCTTGGCTCATTAGGAAAGTTCATTTGTTAGGAGAGATAATTAATTAAATGCTGGAAGATGCTCATTAGTTAACCCTTGTGTATGGGGTCACCTCTGAGCTGAATAGTCTGGCGTGACCTCTGAGCTGAATAGTCTGGCGTGAAGGGTTGATGTGGTGTGATAAGATTTCTTCAGGAGTGCTGGAGGAGGTGTTGAAGATAAGATTGGATACATGATTATTCAGTAAAATTGTCATACAAGTTTACAATTGGTTTGGCAAGTTAGGGTATTTGTGTTTCAGTTTGTCAGGATTATTTATTTATTACTCGAATTTTTTAAATCAGAAGTGTAGAATTGTAGATACTTATCAGTAAACTTAGTTAAGAAAATTAGGGTATGATTATCAGTTGTGTTTGTGTAATAGAGTTTTTGCTTAATATTAAGTAGTACAGGCATTGATATTTGAGGAGATTTAACTTATTAGGCCATCACAAGAATCCACTTGAGCTTGAAATATCTACCATGTACTCACTACCACAAGGATACACTTGAGCATGAACCAGCTACCATGTACTCACTACCACAAGGACACACTTAAGCATGAATCATCTACCATGTAATATATAATGGTTGCCCCTTGTGTTTGAGGATGGCCACCCAAAGGCCACCTTGGTGTGAATTTGTTTAAGGTGTAGAAGCTGTCGCCAACACAACAACCACACCCTTAGTTACCAAGTTGCATGACCCAGTGTCAAGGAATAGTCCGAGAAGACCAGAAAACTTGCCAACTGCACTGGCTAACCATTACCCCGGAACATGATCCACAAATTGATTAACATCCAGGTCCCCAATTACTGCTGGGTAGACAGAGGCAAATGGTGAAAAGAAACTTGCCCATAATTTCACCCTGCCCGGGGATCAAACCCAGGTCCACTCGCTTGCGAGGTGAGCTTGCTGACCATTACACCACAGGTCGCCATGTACTCAATACCACAATGACACACTTCAGCATGAATCATCAACCATGTACAGTAATCATCATTGTGTATAAAGTTAAATAGGTAAATATTTCTGTAAAGTCATGAAAAATTTCAATAAATATTCATAAAGGTATTTAATTGAGTTACTGTACATACACCCAAATCCTAAAATATCTTGGCAGAGTAGTTCATAATACTGATACAGAATTTATAGTAATAATCAATTCCAGTATATTTATATTGTGTACTGAACTGATTTTGATGGTCCTCCACAATAAAACCCAGAACTGTAATGGTTTCTCTTCTTGTTATGGTTGAAATGTCTTAAAGAATGACCATCATAATACTGTACTAGCAGGTTGTGTATGTATAATTATAGGGGTTTTAATGCCATGAGGGATACCTTCATCCAACACCTGGCTGAACATTCAAAATCCTGAAAGGGATGGAAAACATAAACCCGGGACATTTCTTTGTGATGTCACGCACCACCAACACTAGAGGACATAAATACAAGCTCACTAAGTTATCATGCAGAACGAATATATAGAAATGCTTTTACAAAGGGAGGTAGACATATGAAATGGTCTACCAGCCCAAGCTGTGGAACCAAAAACAGTACTAGGCTTCGAAATAACCCTACAAAATTATTAAGAATAATGGAGAGATCTGACGTAGGTCACTGGCCTCCTTCCCCTGGCATGGCCACTTTTAGTGGGTGGCCATTAGGCAAGATAAAACTAATTAGACATAAATGGAAGGCAGTGCTTAGAATAAGCTTGTTATAAATCAATTTTTATGTTTTTATGCAGAATAAAACTTAAAAGAAATTGTTTCACTAGTACTGTTGTTACATTACGTTTATTTAACAACACTAAATGGGATGTTATCACAAATGCAGCCACAAATACACATGTTACAACTTACAAGTGGGAATTTAGGGGAAAATGACTGCATTTAATATATATATATATATATATATATATATATATATATATATATATATATATATATATATATATATATATATATATATATATATAGTAAATCATGTTAATTTGTATGGGTTATCTAAACTATACTAGTTAACCCATAAAAAGTACGTTTTCTATTTTATATTATAGAATCATTTTCTGTAACATTACAGCAGCTGCCAGGTAGATGTTTTGGGTGGACGTTGCAGTTCGTGGTTGTCACTTTCCCTCCCTTCTAACAATCTAATTGAGTTGCTGTCGTGAGGATGAGAGGACGTGCTTCCTGTGTCCTGCTGACTGTTTGGTAATTATGTTTTTTTTTATATAGTAATGAGTTAGATGATATAGTCCACTCCAGCAAAAATCCGACGCCCTTCCATGTAATCTTTCAATTCTTCTTCTTCTGTTTGGTGTGAGGAGGAAGATGTTTGTGGAGGAGGATGTTTTAAACTTCTTAGTTGTGTTGAAGGAGTAACTGAACAGTGAATTGATTAAAGTCAGGAATTGTGTATTATATAATAAACTTCCCTTAAACCTCGAAAAAAGCCCATTTGTTATCTTTCACAAGAAAAATTTACCCCCCATATCTGGACCCCATGTACCTTGGTAATACAGCCCTCAAACGTGAACAAAATACTAAATTTCTTGAGATTGTTGTTGATGGTAAACTAAATTGGAAAAACGGTTGGTTAAGGTGTAGAAGAGGGTGACCACCAGAAGACATTATCCGAATTGGTTATATTTTTTCTATTGTGGGGTACGGGTTGTTGGGTTCACACTCAGGATGGGATGGAGAAAGGAAACTCACAATGTGCTCTCTGTATACATGTTGTGTTGGATGTACAATGCAGCTTGGTGCTGGGAAGGCAGCATGGTTACAAGCGTGATGTAGAGAGAGCTGGTTGGTGAGGGTGCTCAGAGAAGGACCAGCTTGTGGGTCGCCATGCTCGCCGGCGGGAGCGAGGACCGCCAGGCAGGAGGAGGAGGTGTTGCTGGCTGGTTGGTGTAGGTAGAAAAGAGAGAGAGGTCACCACGAGGTCAGGTCTTAAATAGCGGAGGTAGGCGTGGCTTAGTAGTTGACCTCCGTGATGTATGGCGGCGCTGGTTGACCCAGACCACGAGGCATACACTGGGGAATTCGCGGGGTCGGCTACTCAGCGACAACCAGTGTTTGTAGGGGAGAAATCCACTACATTTTTAAACACAAAAATGGAAACGACTAATGCATAGAACCTAATAGAATCTGACTTAACATACTTATAAGTGATATTTCACATAATTTTTTATCAATTTTTGAGGCCATTTGGAGTATAATTGTGTGTAAGTGTTATGTGGCCTTAAAGGAGAAGGTGGGACCCCTGTGTGATGCTGGTGAGAAGGAATTTCATGGTGAGTAATATGGCATTATTTTGACTATCTTTTGACTTATTTTGTTTATTTGTTAATCTAAAACTCATTATTTAGGCGTGGTTTATCTCACTTAATCTCAAATATGATCTTTTATAGGTTAGGTAACGACAAAAAAAAGCGTTTCACCATAAAAATCTAATGTTTTTTTCCTGATCTTTAGATTTCAGGTTTGGTTCTTTAGGTTCCTTTATTATTGTCTTTTGTCTTAGGTTAGGATAGGGTTACACACTGGCGGGGGGCGGTTAGGGTATAAGAATATTTATTTGTACAGTATTTTATTTCTATGAAGACATTATCTCACAGATAGTCTGACATAATGTCGCGCCGCCCTGCCAGCCCGGCCCGGGTGGTTATGATGCTACATAAACCACAGTTACATTTTACTGTGTCTCTGTCAAGTAATCTCGTTCATACATCTGGTTGGGCGCGTGTAGAGATACTTGGACAGTATTTATAAGGCATCTGTACTTGCATGTCAAAGCGGTAATTATTTAAAAAAAAAATCTTGATTATTGTACTGTTGGTCGTGGCTGAAGGTGTTCGGACAGGTATGACTTCGTTGTCAAACAATAACATTATTATTGCTGGTATAAAACTATACTATTAAATAAAACAAATAGTATTTTCTCACGAATATATATTTTTTCTTCGTAGATGTAAAATACTGTATATATAAATATTCCAGGTTGAGGATATAAAAGGCTGAAGAATATGTATGACTTGCTGCGAGGGTTGGGACAGGGAACCAAAATGGCGGACATTTGATATGGATACAACAACTTGACAGTCCCGGAAACAACCTCCTGAGCCGTCGGTAAGACATTTATTAATAATATTATATCAGATATATCAAATTGACAACACCGAGTAGTTGTTGGTATCTCATAAAGGTGATACAAAGTGTAGTTAATGGTTAATTTAGTTCATTGTGTTGGGTCGCCAGGTACAGGTGGCGACATACTGTGATGTATCTTTTTTTATATAAAAATTCATGATACGTCGCCATATTTCTGTTGTCCATCACATTATAAGGTAGAGATACATTGGTAAATTATCGGTAAGTTTGTAGTAGTGTACACAACTCTGTTAGAAAGTAAAAAAAAAAAATTTTCTAGTGTATTTATTTGCGTTTTGACCTTGATTTCCATCGGAAATCCCCCCCCCCTTTTATTTGTTTATTTTTTTTAAGTTATCGGGGGTGTTGGGTGGGGTGTTTTCCGACAAAAATCATGGCTAATAATATATATATATATATATATATATATATATATATATATATATATATATATATATATATATATATATATATATATATATATATATATATATATACCTACCAAAATAACCAGACCTAACATAACCTAACTCTCACCATATGATGGAATCACATTTCTTACCTTATTGGCCTGGTTCTGGTTCGTCGTCGGATTTACTCCAATGCCAACTAGATTGGTCTTGATATTTACATTCGATCTTACACTTAAAACACTTTACTGAGGTCGGGAGAACACCACCAGATCTAAAAAAGTGCTATAGCTTGTGTGTTTGTTATTCTTTCAAAATTGCGCAATTAACTCCATATAATTGAAGTGACACCCATCGCAGACTTCCATGGTCGGAAATGAATTTGAATTTCGAAATATGAGGGACTCAAAATCACAAATGAATCTGATTAGGCAAAAAATACCTGGAATTAAACCACAAATCATTTTAATTGTTGGAAAAAAAAACGCTTTTGATTTGCTGCGATACGTGTATGGAAAGGTCGGGAACGCATGAGCCTGACGATTTATGAAGGGAACATACTGAGTGGGAAGTCAGGTAGGCGATAATGGAAGAAAATATAAAAATATTTGGGATGCACTATCTCCGTTATAATACGTGTGCGACGGTAATGTAATAGAAGAAAATTATCTTAAAATTAGACGTCTTTTTCGAATATGATAATAGATTTGGGGTAGGAAAGTTGTGTGAACTTATACAAAAATACCAAATTATTACTTTCAGACAACAGGGAATCTTAGGAATTTATCTTCGCGGTTAATAGTTTAGACAAGCCTAAGGCACTTCTCTGTGACGTCATAATTTTATAAGACGTTTGTGAGGGAAACGTCGTAGAAGAAAAGCGTCTTAGGATTGTCTAAATTATTGATTGCAAATATAAAATTCCTAAGAATCCCCTGTTTTTCAATGCAGTCCTTAACGTGTTGTGTTCAGCATCATATCACAAGTTATCTATGCTTGTGTAGGAATACGTTGACTAGTTGGCAAGACGTGAAAGTGTTCACCAGAACTGACAGTGAAGAAGAAATACTGTACACTGTGTTTCACTGCAACAACCAATCGTACTTTCATGTGCCACTTCAAGATAGTTGCTTTCATTGGTAGCAGATATCAAAGTTAATTTTCTCTGCCCCAGCTAGGAACTTAGGTAAGGTTGGTTAGGTTTGGTTCTATACATTGTTGTATCATATTTATTATATACTTATCATCCAAAGAACATCTGTGGAAACAATGAACGAAATCAAACAACTTCTTCTGGTGTTAGCCGTCTGCCAACATCTATGGTGCACTAGCAACAACAGTGATTTCTTCCAAAGTAGACACTGACTGGGCAGGGTTTGAAGATGAGGGAAAATGTGGGGTTAAAACACCAAACAAACCTTACTTAACCTAGCAGTCATAATATAGTCCGGGACTAATACCTACTATAGAAAGCTGGTGCTGCTATAGTGTGCTATCTAGTCTAACCTAAACTAACTTAACCTAAATATCTTGTAGACCGCACCCTATAGTAACTCCAAAAAGCTTACCTTATATTTTCAGCATTTAGGTCACAAGGGAAGCTTGAATACATCTATATAAAATGCTTGCACTGGGGATAAACCGATACCAAAATTTTTGCACCAACATTCAAGAATTTTTGGCTCAATATTTCTGGTAAAAATTAAATTTTGTTGTGTACAAAGCCCATAGACACTTGGTTTAAGTGTCATATGAACAGGTTTTTCATTGTGTCAGCCAGATATTGGTCAAATAACTGGTGGTTATTCAGCCAGATATTGGTTAAATAAGCCCAGCCTATAATATAATAAGTGTTGTGTATTATATAGTTATTGGTTGTATTTCCAGGAAGCTACAAGGACCAACAACACTGTTGACGTATATGACACCACTGATGAAACACTGCTGACCTGAGGGACAGTATATGATGCCACTGATGAAACACTGCTGACCTGAGGGACAGTATATGACACCACTGATGAAACACTGCTGACCTGAGGGACAGTATATGATGCCACTGATGAAACACTGCTGACCTGAGGGACAGTATATGACACCACTGATGAAACACTGCTGACCTGAGGGACAGACTCATATATGACGCCACTGATGAAACACTGCTGACATGTTGGAGGTGAGACTTACCTACTGTTAATTCACATCATGTTGTTCTTATTAGGTGTACAGCTGAGTCAACTACAGGTTGGGTTTCTCGAATCTGAAATTACCAAATCTGAAATGCTGTGAAATCCGAAAGTCTATTTCATTATACTTAATTTATGGTAGATAATTCTGTACACTGAATATGGTATAGTATATCATAATTTATAGTAGGGTAAGTATGTACTGTATGTGTAATGAAAAGGGGTAAGACACAGGCTGCTTAGTGCCTCAGAGTCAGGCGTCATGGTGATGCCAAACAGATGGTAGTGATTGCTTACCTTTCTGGGTCTTTAGTGTAGTACAGCTTATCATATATTTTATACCCAAAATTATTAAATTATGTTTCATAAAACTACACGCAGAATATACAGTATACTGTATGACCATAATAATGTAAATGAAATATACCGTATGTACTCGTGTGTAGTTCGAGTTTTTAAGACCAAATTTTTAGGCAAAAAAGTTGGGTGTCGTCCTATACATGGGTAATAGTTTTGTTAGGTTGAATCCGTGCATGATGGGAAGGGCGAGGAGCAACTTGAGGAGCAACTTTTAGCTTTAGACTTGAAAAATATTTACCATTTACTGCCAGTAAACAATGGAAATGTAAAATATGTACCAATTAGTAAAGAAAACCTGTGCAGTGCCTTCAGCAGATGAAGCTCACCAACTTACAATAGGCTAACTTGCCTTACAATGTGCTTTCAGTAGTCTATGTTGAAGTTCTTAGCACAGGCTAACTTATCTTATACGGCATCACAGTACCCATTGATCTACAAAAAGTACCGGTAATAAAAACCTTTTTGATATTTCACACTTGATATAGTACCCGGTAATCCACCTCAACCTCATATTGTTTACAACGATCACGACGCACCACCACCATCTGTTGAGTATCAGCTAGACGGTACACGTGTTTTTCGAATCGTTTTCAGTTAAAAAACTGTTACATCACATGTATATTTTACCTTAACTGTGCCTGAATGAATATATTCTCAGAAATAAATAGTAGTTTTGCTGAAACGTGATGTATTTCATTGTAAAATAGGATAAAATACATGACGAAAACAAAAGACTTTCAACTTCTTTCGTTCAAAAGATGTTACCATAATCGCTTTTTGAATGGTTTTCAGTTAAAAAACTGTTATATTACAATAATATTCCCTCCTAATTGACTTGAATAAATAATTGAATGGAAATATACAATATTTTCACTGAAACTACCCGTGTTTCAGTGTAAAGTGTCATAATAATGGTAAACAATTTGCCTTCGGCTCTCGGTGTTTCAGACATGGCGACCCTCAGTTTATAGGACATGAGTGTTTTTAGTGAAGGTTTTGCTGTTACATTGCCCTCAAAAACTTGGGTCGACCTATAAATGAGGCATATAATAAATTAATGATTTCTTGGTCAAAAAATCAGGGTCGACCTATACACGAGGTAGACTTATAAATGAGTATATACGGTATGGGTAAATGAATCTTGTGCATAGACTTAATCCCCATCCTTGCTGGGTGAGCTACTCCATGATACAGGTTCTGTATACAGTACAGGTGTTCAAAAAAATATCCCAAATCCGACCCCTAAAGCCCCAAGCATTTAGGATAAAGGATACCCAACTTGTACTTGTGTTTACATGCAGTTGTGTACAGTACTGTACTACAGTATTTAAAACATTAAATACACTCTACCCATTAGTTTTAATTCACATTTAAATAAAATTTTTCAACAATATGGAGCAGCTTTATTATTTAAGCGTACAGTATTACCCTTATCTTGTGTTTGGGCACATGAGTTCATGATGTAGATTTGGTTCAAATACATCAGAGGCGCTGTACTGTACTATACTGTACTCTACTGTTTTAAATACTGATTAAGGATCTGGATTTGGTATGCAAAATTTTCATTAATTAGTGTTAATTATGACCCTTGAATTAATTAAACAAATTTACAGTAGTGTATTCATCTAAAAGTGGACATTTATGTGAATGTGTTTGTGAGCATGTGTATTTATTTAAGAGAGTTTGTTTGTATATATGTACGTTACTTGTATTTGTTTAAAAGTGTGTGTGTGTTTTGTATAAATGTTTGACTGTTTTAGTGTGAAGGTGTTTGTTTTGTCAAGTAAAACCATACAAGCAGTTGTGTAACACAAGATGTGACACAACAAATCTGAAGATTAGTTATTGCTGAAACTTGTCTCAAAATGACTTAATTTAGATGATAAATAAATATTTACTTTATTTGCCTTAATGGCCACCCACTAGAGGTGGTCAGGGTGAGGAAAGGAGGCCAGTGGTCTATGTAGGATCCTTCCATCGTTCTTGATAGTCTTGTCTTGGGTTATTTTTATTCTGTATGATAAGTTGCCAAGCTTAGAGTCATGTCCCATTATTTTGGTGGTGCATGACATGACCCAGATTCATGTTTTCCATCCTTTTCAAGAGTTTGAATGTCTATGAGTTGTGCCCTGTTGTGTCTTGTCAGAAGGGTTGTTAACCCCAAGGCCCTCAATATATTTGGATAATCAAGATGACATAAATCAAGAATCATCTTAGTCACTGTGTTGAACCTTTCTAAGGACGTTAGGTTTTTCTGGAGGGAGGGTTTCCGTGCCTGTACCGTGTACAGTAATCCAGACTGGGACGTACGTGATATTTGTACAATTGAAGGAGCATTTGCCTGTTAGAAGGTGTGCTTTATAATTCCCAATTGTTGGTTGGCTTTTGTCACTGTTGCCCCCACTTAGACCACTGCCTTCAGTGATTGATCTATCACAATACCAAGATCTTTCACTTTATTGAAAGTATCCAGGAAAGTGTTATTAACAGAATAGTGGGGATTTGGGTTGTATCCTACACACAGTCTTACATTTTGCATTGTTAAAAATATTTTACCAGTCTCAAGACCATTTGAACACCTTGTGAAGGTCTTTTTGCATGGCTGCAAATGGTCATGATTGTTACCTTCTTAAATACAGGTATTTCCATGTCATCTGCAAACTTGACAATATGGCTCTATATATTTTCATCTATATCATTTATGTACAGTAAAACCTCTCTAAGGCAGACTAATTGAGGAAGGGATTATAGGTTGTCCACCTTAGAGTCAATTTTTCCCAAAAGACGCCATTTTAAACAAAAAACAGTACGTACGACACCAACGTCTCCAATTTTTATGAAGGAAATACTATACAAGTTTTCTAATCAAAATTAATTTTAAAAAGTAATGTACACAAAGTACTGTACACTTACTTTTAGTTCACTGATACGGCCATCGGCTTAACCTCACCACCCTTATGGGTACTAAACACTTTCTTAGAGGCGGTGTTTATTGTTTAATTTTTCAGTAATAATGAAAAAAATATGAATGGTGCTTCAGCCTACGGTGAATATACTAAATGTTCAAAAACTTTAATGATATAAAAAAATACAGTAGTACTGTATTTTAGGAAATAACTTTTGCATATTCCACCTGTAGCCATAGTTTTCTTATATATACAGTACCAGGAAATGTGAGGAATATTACTAACAAAACTTACTGTATTGTATTGCCAGAAAAGTAAATAAAAGCCAAATGAAAGTTTAAAACACAGTCTCCTTTGCATACACTCCCTGTTTCACCATAGTAACGAAGATCAGCTGGGACGGTGATTCCCTAGCAACGCGCTCCCCAACACACACACACACACACACACACTGACTGTTTTCCCCTAACTCGTGTAGAAAGAACTGTCAATTCCATATATGTGTTTGCCCTTAGGACAATTATTTCTTTTACATTTTCACATTATGTATGTAGGATGGTGTGTGCGTGTAGTAGAGTAAAAATAAGATGAGGAAAGTTACTTATATCTATCCGAAAATACGAGTTGAAAAACAACCATGTAACACCTCACAGCTTGGCCCAGTAGCCTGGTGGTTACAGTAATGAGTCTAACCTGGCTACAATGCCATAATTAATTACTGTTAAGCACTATTATGTCAGTAAACACTAATAATAATAATAAATCCAGTGAAATATAGCAGGGAGTGAGGAGAGTTACAGACGACACTAACTAGTCACTCACTCGCTTCCTGGCTCCTGTTGCCAGGCTTATGATTGAAATACAGTACGTATAGGAGAAATACATACAGTATCTTGTAGTATAATTTGAAAACAGTGATAAACAAATTATATAAACCATATATTTACCTATGATAACATAATAAGAAACATTGTATCATTACTAGAGTGAGTGAAATATTATTCCCCAAAACAACAGTTGATAACTCTTAGGCACCTGTGTCCCACATGCTGATGTCTTGTTTATTTTAATTTTTTAATTCTTTTGGAGCAAACAATTTTGTCCAGCTCAAGCAATATCCGCCTCAGTTGGGTCCACCTTAACGAGGTTTTACTGTATATCTTAAACAGGATGGATTCAATGGTAGATCCTTGTGCTACACCACTGAGAACCTTCTTCCATTCTGATTGTACACCATTTATGACCACCCTTTGTGTCCTGTGTTTGAATCAGTTGTTAATCCACTTCAAAATTTTGTTTGTGATGCCATGTGGTTGGATTTTAGAGACTACCTGTGAATGTGGGACTTTGTCAAGCGCCCTAGAGAAATCCACTTACACTAGCGGTCAAAAGTTTGCTCGATCCCAAATGAGATAAATTAGCACACCCACATCAGACGATACTCAGGGTAAGTCAGTTCAGAGACTGTTTCACCATGGGAGCAAAATTATGACCAAAACTGTACAACACATCCACTGGTAAGCCTTGATCCATGTAGTCTGTTACCATTTCAAGGAAAATGAAAAAATTTGTTAAGCAGGATATTCTCTCCATGAAACTGTGTGATGCATTGATCAGTCAGGTGTTGGAAGAAGGCATCCCTTAGAGTTTACAGACACAGTGCATATATTGAGTTGACATAAAGCAAGTGTGTGTAGTGGTTGTGGGTCAGAGTTAGTTTTTCCCCAACATGGACCTTGTGACTCCACCTCAGTTGTCAAGAGTACAGTACAGTATATACAGAAGGTTTTTTCTCTGGTGGGTCCTGTCTTGTGTTGTGTGAGGAATGAGTCTTGAAGGAGGTCAAAGAATTCTCCTCCAGTTTGTGTGGTAAGAGTCACCAATCCACTGTCTCATAATGAGAGCTTGTGTTCTGGTTGACTATGGAGTCTGCCACTTCCCCCTGTGAGACCGAGTCAGCCTTATAACACAAACCTACTGTCACCTTGCTTTTGTTTTATGCTTTTAGTTCACATCAAATAGATTCAGATTGTATAATTTTATTTAGCTCATCATTACTGGTTACTGTCAGGTGCTCCTTAACATACAGTACAGTAGTACACCACAGGCCTGTCCTTTCTGAATGGTGGTTGATACCTGGTAGAAAAAATTCACCGTGGAACACATCTTCTTAACCCCAGGACTCTGATGTCTGGCTGTTGTGTGTCCACCTGTGCAGCACCCAATAGTCCAGTCTTATTAACTAGACTTGTGTCATTCCTGTACCAACACCAGTTTCTCTCTGGGTTACTAGTACAATAATACTTAAAGCTACATTAGTGATGAACAACTCTTATACAAAGTACACCACATTTCTTACTCTGTCTTCTCCTGTAATGAAGCTGTATTTGTTTATTTGCTATTGTTCTCTCATGACATGTTGTGTTAGCCCCAGCTGCCACACTATCACTGTGGGTGTTGACGTAACTATTTCCTATAAGTTATTTAATACTTTACACTGATTGTTGATGTCATGTTATTTGTTGCTTTAATTTATCTTGTTCTTTATCAGACTTATCTACTGTTTCATGATCCTCTACACTACAGTCATAATTAAATCTTTAACTTGGTGTGTGTGTTTGCATGTTTGTTTGTTTTTAGTGTACATACAGTAAAAGCATAAAATCATTAACACCTGAGCTGAACTGAGCTGATATTCCAGCCCAGGTGTGCCACAAGAAATATGAAGATTAGTTATCACTGAAACTCAACTCTAAATTAACCCAATATGTATTGTAGCTACATTAGTGTTTCTCAGTCTCATATATATTAATTATCTTTTAAGTTTATTAATAACTTTTAGCTTCATTTTCAAAGCAGTATTACATTGTTTATCAGTTATGATAATTTACAAATACTACTGTTTATTTTACCTTTCTACTTTTATGTTTCACTTCAGTTAATTAAACTACAGCCTGTATTACTAAAGTAGTTTTGAAGGAGATTACAGGGGGTCCCCAGGTTAGGAATGGGTGCCATTCCTGACGACATTCTTAGTCGGATTGCATGCTAGGAGCATACCGTACTTACAGAACAATGTTTAAAATCCCACTATATCATAGCCTAAGTCCTTATATACATCTGAAATCATTTAATTTAAGACAAAAAAGAAATAGATTGACAATACAGTAAATGAAAGTAAAACATGTCATCTGATGAAATATTGTAAATTTCAAGTTTAACACTGTTCATATCGGGCGTTTATAAGTCGGGGACTCCCTGTACTTTGTACAAGTTTTAATTTTTACATAGTAACAATGCAGTACTTTATCTCAAGTAATATTTTCATATACTTTCTCCCCCACTGGCTAAAATGGACCTGAATTGAGCTGGACCTGAATTGAGCTGGACCTGCAGTGAACTAGACCTGAAGTTAACTGGACCGTAATTACTATCTGGTATTTTACTTAATATTTTCTGGTACTTTAAATACTAGAAAGGTTCTACAGACATCCCTCAGTTTATAAAAGTTCTGTTCTTGAGAAACCTTTAGTAAATTACATAAATTTTTCCATAGACTCCCATTATAAAAGCCAAGATACTTTTCTGCGATGAAAATACTTCCCCCAAATGATGTACTTTACACAATGATTATAAGCCACTATAGAAGCTCCTCTACTGATGAATGAGTTATGTTCTTGAGGTTTGTTTGTGAGTCCAACTTTACTCATGTAGATGTACAGTACAGTGGACTGCAAGTTGACCTTTGAAGCTCCAATTTGTTTGTTTAAAACCAGGAGTCGTCTTATACAACGCGTATACAATGTCGATCTCTAAATACGCTACACCACTAGCATCAGAATTTCACTTTGCTGTACCGGCAGGTCTCGGTCACTTAATTTCCAGCACTCGTAAAAAACAAGTTTTACCTAACTAGCATTTATCCAGAAGGGTAACTGTTACTGAACTCGGCTTAAGTTCAGTGTTTACACTAGTCACATTATGGGTGTCCCTACACACACCGACACCTTTCAAAATATTAAAATATCTTTCTGTGTTAGCTGCGATTTCTTACAAACAAACGTTACTGGGGTTGTTACTTGTAATATTTGTTGTTAAATTTAAAAAAAATGCTGCTATTGTATATTGATATAATGCTCCAGGATTTTATAAATGTTTACATGAATGTGGTGTAAAGTTGTTAACAAGACAGGCACCTGGGAACAGCTGGCTGGCCTGCAGCAGCTCGGCAAAGTTGCTAAATACAAAAAAAAAATGTAGAGAAATCCCATTACATATAATACGTTATCTAACATGAGATAATTGTTAACAATGGCTTGGATAAATGCCAAAAAACTGTCACAAGTGGCATTAAAGGTAGACGGCAAAAACAACACTAAATTGGCAACTAGGAGGTCAACATATGAATGACCACTCTCTGTTGTACAGTAATACTGTACATTATGTTCACACAGACTCAAGTGCTAAGTACCATAGAATGTTGATGCACAGCTGACACATAATTAATGGTCACTTTCCTATCTGTGTACAGTACAACTGTTAGTACAGTGTATTTCCATATAGATATTCAGTGAACAAATAATTGATGGGTCTTATCCCACAAAGAGTAGGTTAAGACAATATGAAACTCATCTTAATTGTGAAGTTAAACAGATTATAAGGATCATCAGTTCATTTTCCTTCAGAATTATCAGTGAAAATTATTTTTGGATCACCTGATGATTATCCTCTCTGGCTTATTTAACCTTAAGAAACTTACTTACCCCACCAGTTAGTGTTAAGGTGCTTAATCATCAGGTGATATAAGTTGGGGGCCTAATCTTCAGGTGATCTTTGGTTTCTCTATTAAGCTCCTCAGATCAGCCATCACACCAGACCAGGACCTGTACGAGAGAAGGAACACTGTGGTCTACCTTACAGTATGTTATTGAGTTAGTTACTCTACAGTAGAAGTAAGTGACCACACCAGTACTTAACAGATTATTTAACTATGTTGAGTTTTGGTGTTGCTGTGTTATTTGAACCTTTCTATAGATTTGTAAACTGACTAATGACTTTAGACGGTGTTTAAGATTAGGTTTCTAACAGTTAAAACTGTGGTTAAGTTGTGTGGAAGTGAGACAATGACTTAGCACTATGCTGAAAGTGTTTAAAAGTGAGAAAGTGACTTTTAGTGAAGTTTGTAGAAGTAAGGATATTAGTTAAAAAAAATTGTGTATGGGAGAAAATGACTAATTAACTTCATGAGATTTAGAGTATAGTTTAATTTTTATACAAGAAGTTGGAGGTTCAATACTGTAGGCTTAATACTTTTTAGGGATTAAAATTCTTGCTTTTCCGTGGATCATTTACAGTGAAAGGTACAGTACAGAGTGAGAGAAGGCTGGTTGTATATTAAAGTTGAGAGAGGAAAGGCTGTACTGTACTAAGTTAATGGATAGGGAAGACTGCCGGACATTTGACTGATGAGTATTACAGTAAAGGAGGGAAAGCTGTTGAGTGTATGACTTAAGATAATACAGTACTGAAGTTGTATGAGCAAGAGAAAAGGCTGGTGATGTGAATTAAAACTGTGCTGAAATAATGTATAATTGAGAGAAACTTGACTAGAATGTAAGATTTACTGTACTGAAGCAGATAAAGAGTGAGGGAGGACTGTAGACTAGACTGAAGTTTTATACAAGTGAAGGAGGGATTTGTATTACTTAATCTGCACTGGATTTCTTTCTTTCTTTCGTTTCTTCCACATCCTAGGTTAGGTTTTATTTCATCAGAGCCAACCATAAAGAGAGTCATCTATTAACTGCAGCTGACCCCAACATGAAGGACATTTCATCTATCAACTGGAATCAACTGCATCTGAACCCCTTTCCCCTACCCCTTTAGAGCGGGGGTCAGAAGTCTCTTCTGGGAAGTACCTTACTCTCGGAGCATTATAACTCTGGGTTTATGGCTCGGACATTTCTGTATCTGGGATAAGGAGCTTCCTGGAGGAGGCGACTGGCCCTAGGAGCAGCAATTGCTGTATCTAGGTGTCAGCGTTAGGCTGCTTAGGTTCCCTTTTTTTTTTAAGGATCTTCAGGCGAGCCTCTTCAAGGATACACTGAATCCTAGGACAAGGAGAGCCGGTCCTGAAGAAGATTGGTACCATTTTTTTTATCCTTTTGAGCTGGGGTCAGGGGGCTTCTTCCTAGAGGTGATTGGCTTTTGGACCAGCATGCTTGTTTGTCCAGTGGTTCCAGGAGTCAGGATCCTCTTGGGGGAGAACCTTGGCCCTCGGACCTGGCGTGAGCCAGGTTCAGGGACTCCCCTTTTTTTCTCATCTTAGGCTCTGTCTAAGGTGTCCTCTCAGTTCATAGTGGCTGGGGCACTGAAAACAGTTTGCCTCACCTTATGAATCTGTGAAGGGCACCTAAGACTTCTTCCACAGGAGCTGTTTTATCTCCTGTCTTAGAAATCCATTGATTTCTAAGATCAGAGATAAAAACACACTTGTGTGAAAGAAGTCTTAGGTGTTCTTCACTGATTCATAAGGCGAGATGAACTGTTTTCAGTGCTCCAGTCACTAGGAACCTAGGGAGGTCACCCTAAGGCCAAGCCTAATTCCAAGATGAGGGACTATGTCCCTCAGCCTTAGGGGGGTGGGGGGAGGATTCCACCTCATGGGAAGGGGGGGAGAAGGGACCCACCTCCCCTGGAAGGGGCGGAGGAGGACCCACCCTCCCCCTGGAAGGGGAGAGGGAGGACTCCTCCATCCCCTGGAAGGGGGGGGGAGGAGGCTGACCCCCTCCACCTGGAAGGGGAGAGGGAGGAGGACTCCTCCATCCCCTGGAAGGGGGGGGGAAGAGGCTGACCCCCTCCCCTTGGAAGGAGGACCTCCCCACACAAATTATTTTGTAAAATGGTTTTAAATAAAACTTTAAAATTTCAATATAACTTTTATTTATACTTCCAGTACATGCTATGATTTCCAAGGAGGAGGGGGTTCTCCCCCCTCTCCAAGGAGGAGGGGGTTCTTCCCCCCCCTCTCCAAGGAGGAGGGGGTTCTCCCCCCCCCCTCTCCAAGGAGGAGGGAGTTCTCCCACCCCCCTAAGGCTGAGGGACATAGTCCCTCATCTTGGAATTAGGCTTGGCCTTAGGGTGACCTCCCTAGGTTCCTAGTGACTGGGGCACTGAAAACAGTTCATCTCACCTTATGAATCAGTGAAGAACACCTAAGACTTCTTTCACACTAGTGTGTTTTTATCTCTGATCTTAGAAATCAATGGATTTCTTCTTTCACACTAGTGTGTTTTTATCTCTGATCTTAGAAATCAATGGATTTCTAAGACAGGAGATAAAACAGCTCCTGTGGAAGAAGTCTTAGGTGCCCTTCACTGATTCATAAGGTGAGGCAAACTGTTTTCAGTGCCCCAGCCACTATGAACTGAGAGGACACCTTAGACAGAGCCTAAGATGAGAAAAAAAGGGGAGTCCCTGAACCTGGCTCACGCCAGGTCCGAGGGCCAAGGTTCTCCCCCAAGAGGATCCTGACTCCTGGAACCACTGGACAAACAAGCATGCTGGTCCAAAAGCCAATCACCTCTAGGAAGAAGCCCCCTGACCCCAGCTCAAAAGGATAAAAAAAATGGTACCAATCTTCTTCAGGACCGGCTCTCCTTGTCCTAGGATTCAGTGTATCCTTGAAGAGGCTCGCCTGAAGATCCTTAAAAAAAAAAGGGAACCTAAGCAGCCTAACGCTGACACCTAGATACAGCAATTGCTGCTCCTAGGGCCAGTCGCCTCCTCCAGGAAGCTCCTTATCCCAGATACAGAAATGTCCGAGCCATAAACCCAGAGTTATAATGCTCCGAGAGTAAGGTACTTCCCAGAAGAGACTTCTGACCCCCGCTCTAAAGGGGTAGGGGAAAGGGGTTCAGATGCAGTTGATTCCAGTTGATAGATGAAATGTCCTTCATGTTGGGGTCAGCTGCAGTTGATAGATGAAACTATGGTGGGGTCAGCTGCAGTTAATAGATGACTCTCTTTATGGTTGGCTCTGATGAAATAAAACCTAACCTAGGATGTGGAAGAAACGAAAGAAAGAAAGAAATCCAGTGCAGATTAAGTAATACAAATCCTTCCTTCACTTGTATAAAACTTCAGTCTAGTCTACAGTCCTCCCTCACTCTTTATCTGCTTCAGTACAGTAAATCTTACATTCTAGTCAAGTTTCCCTCAATTATACATTATTTCAGCACAGTTTTAATTCACATCACCAGCCTTTTCTCTTGCTCATACAACTTCAGTACTGTATTATCTTAAGTCATACACTCAACAGCTTCCCTCCTTTACTGTAATACTCGTCAGTCATACGTCCGGCAGTCTTCCCTATCCATTAACTTAGTACAGTACAGCCTTTCCTCTCTCAACCATAATATACAACCAGCCTTCTCTCACTCTGCACTGTACCTTTCACTGTAAATGATCCACGGAAAAGGAAGAATTTTAATCCCTAAAAAATATTACGCCTACAGTATTGACCTCCAACTTCTTGTATAAAAATTAAACTATACTCTAAATCTCATGAAGGTAATTAGTCATTTTCTCCCATACACAATTTTTTAAACTAATATCCTCACTTCTACAAACTTCACTATAAGTCACTTTCTCACTTTTAAACACCTTCAGCATAGTGCTAAGTCATTGTCTCACTTCCACACAACTTAACCACAGTTTTAACTGTTAGAAACCTAATCTTAAACACCGTCTAAAGTCATTAGTCAGTTTACAAATCTATAGAAAGGTTCAAATAACACAGCAACACCAAAACTCAACATAGTTAAATAATCTGTTAAATACTGGTGTGGCCACTTACTTCTACTGTAAAGTAACTAACTCAATAACATACTGCAAGGTAGACTACAGTATTCCTTCTCTCGTCCAGGTCCTGGTCCTGGTCTGGTGTGATGGCTGATCTGAGGAGCTTGATAGAGAAACCAAAGATCACATGAAGATTAGCCCCCAATTAATATCACCTGATGATTAAGCACCTTAACACTAAGTAAGTTAGGTAAGGTTAGGGTGGTTAATCTTAAGGTTAAATAAGCCAGAGGTGATCCAAAAATAATTTTCACTGATAATTCTGAAGGAAAATGAACTGACGATCCTTATAATCTGTTTAACTTCACAATTAAGATGAGTTTCATATTGTCTTAACCTACCCTTTGTGGGATAAGACCCATCAATTATTTGTTCATTGAATTATATGGAAATACACTGTACTAACAGTTGTATACAGATAGGAAAGTGACCATTAATTTTGTGCCAGCTGTGCATCAACATTCTATGGTACTTAGTACTTGAGTCTGTGTGAACATAATGTGCAGTATACTGACTACTGTACAACAGAGATAGTGGTCATTCATATGTTGACCTCCTAGTTGCCAGTTTAGCGTTGTTTACGCCGTCTACCTTTAATGCCACCTGTGACAGTTTTTTTGGCATTTATCAAAGCCATTGTTAACAATTCTCGTGTTAGATAACGTCTTATATGTAATGGTATTTCTCCAGATTTTTTTGTATTTAGCAATTTTGCCGATAAATCTAGTGACATTCACTGACCGAGCTGCTGCAGCCCAGCCAGCTGTTCCCAGGTGCCTGTCTTGTTAACAACTTTACACCACATTCATGTAAACATTTATAAATATGCTGGAGCATTATATCAATATACAATAACGGCATTTTTTTTTTAAATTTAACAACAAATATTACAAGTTATTGCCCCAGTAACGTTTGTTTGTAAAAAATCGCAGTTAACATCGAAAGATATTTTGAAAGGTGTCGGTGTGTGTAGGGACACCCATAATGTGACTAGTGTAAACACTAAACTTAAGCAGAGTTCAGTAACATTTACTCTTCTGGAAAAATGCTACAGTTAGGTAAAACTTATTTACGAGTGCTGGAAATTATGTGACCGAGACCTGCCGGTACAGCAAAGTGAAAATCTGATGCTAGTGGTGGAGTGTATTTAGAGATCGACATTGTATACCCGTTGTATAAGACGACTCTTAGTTTTAAGAAAACAAATTGGAGCTTCAAAGGTGAACTTACAGGCCACTGTACTGTACATCTACAAGAGTAAAGTTGGACTCACAAACAAACCTCCAGAACATAACTCATTCATCAGTAGAGCTCCTCCTATAGTGGCTTATAATCATTGTGTACAGTACATCATTTGGGGGAAGTATTTTCATCGCAGAAAAGTATCTTGGCTTTTATAATGGGAGTCTATGGAAAAATTTATGTGATTTACTAAAGGTTTCTCAGGAACAAAACTTTTATAAACTGAGGGATATCTGTAGAACCTTTCTAATATTAAAAGTACCAGAAAATATTAAATAAAATACCAGATAGTAATTACAGTCCAGTTCACTGCAGGTCCAGCTCAATTCAGGTCCATTTTAGCCAGTGGGGGAGAAAGTATATGAAAATATTACTTAAGACAAAGTACTGCACTGTTACTATGTAAAAATTAAAACTTGTAGAAAGTACAGGGAGTCCCCGCCGATATGAACGGTGTTAAACATGAAATTTACAATATATCATCAAATGATATTTTTTACTTTCATTTACTGTATTGTCAATCTATTTCGCTTTTGTCTTAAATTAATTGATTTTAGATGTATATAAGGACTTAGGCTGTGATATAGTGTGATTTTAAACATTGTTCTGTAAGTATGGTATGCTCATGGCGCGTGTTCCGACCTAAGTACAAATCCGAAAAAGAATGTCACAAGGAACGGAACCTGTTCGTAAATTGGGGGCCCCCTGTAATCTTCTTCAAAACTACTTTAATAATAATAATTTAATTAACTGAAGTGAAACAAAAAACTATAAAGGTGAAGAAAAAAAAGTAGTATTAGTAAAAGTGCACCAGGCTATACAGTCTACTGTAGGTACACAAAATGAGCACTTCTAGGCATGCAAGACTATATAGCCTTGGTACATAAAATGCACAATTCTGGTACCAAGGACTATATAGTTGGTACACTTCAAGGCTACAATATACAGCTACTCCTCGAATTACGA